AAAAAAAAAAAAAAAAAAAAAATCACTGCCATTGAGTCAATTCCGACTCATAGTGAGGCCCATTCAGTTTCCAAGGCTGTAACTTTTTACAGAAGCAGATTGCTTCATCTTTCTTCTGCAAAGCAGCTGGTGGGTTTGAACCACTGACCTTTTGCTTAGCAACTGAGTACTTTAGCCATTGCACCATCAGAGTTTCTTAATGAACACATAGAAAAATATATAATGACATGTACCATTAAATAGTTGTGTAGGCCTAGAAGATAGACAGTGATGGTGTGTGTTGGGGAATGGATGGGGACTATTTCAGATAAGGTGGGCCCACAATAGCTGAGGAAGTGATATTTTCACACAGACCTAAGGCCCCGAGTGAGCTTTGTGCAAATCTGGGGTATGGCTTACCAAACAGAAAAGCTGCAAGCAAAGGGCCTGAGGCAAGAATGAGCTTGGTATGCTCCTGGAAGAAAGCAAGGTAGCTTGTATAGCTAGAGTAGAATGAGGATTAAAATTTGGAGATAAAATAAGAAGGCAGAGCTAGGTCAGAGTCTGATTCTAAGTACCTAATACAAGCTACCAGGCAGTTTATAACTCAAAATCTAAAATTTCTTTACATAGCAATTTATAAACCTCACAATTAGCCTCACCTTGAACAGACTACATTAATTATAGGCAATGCTTGCCACTGTGGAGTGCTGTTTGGGCCACTGATTTAAAATACTCTTCTCTATTAAAACTACACTTAAAGCATAAAAAAAATGCAAGTCAGCTACTGTAATTCAAGGCAATAATGCTCTTTATTTTAATAGAGAATCTTCATATTTCTCTAAACTCCTGTGATATCTGTGCCTTGCTTATGAACACAAAGCACTTTCTCCAATAAGTTATACTTTCATACTGCATTATCTAATTCTGTAGACTAGAACTCCTTGAAGTCAATGATCATAACTTGTATATGTTTGTCTCACCTATAATTAAACCCAGTGCTTTGAATTTAGGATATACATCCAAAAACCAAACCAAACCGACTGCTGTCGAGTAGGATCTGACTCATAGCAACCCCTCCTTGGGTTTCTGTGGTGGTATCACTAAGGAAGTAGATTGCCCAACCTTCCTTCTGAGGAGTGGCTGATGGGTTTGAACCATCAGCCTTCAGGTTAGCAGTCAGATGCCTTAGGCACTATGCTACCAGTGCTCCTAGGACATACGTGGTGACTGTTTATTAAACAAAACTGACTATGTATAGGATATTTTGTTTGTTTAAAGGGTTTTCTAGAGAGAGAAGAAGTCCATAAGGCTAAGGTGAGCTTAAAGGGAATGACATGGACAATGTCTAGGAAGGACCTGGACTTGTTTATGATTGTAGTGGAGGCTAGCAAAGGGTAGGCCCAGAAAACAGGAGAGGTCATCTTACAATTTTTCTAGGAACTCAGTCATATTAAAATACAGAAATCTCCTTATTATAACACAGAAATCTCCTTGTTATATAAACATTCAAATGTTTATCACAACAGTATTTGCCCTGCATCTCTTTCCTCAGAATATCCCCCGATCCCCTAGAAATGTTGATACAAGCAATTAATGTCATTTTGAGATGGATGCATTTGGCCTCTCCATTACCCCTTTCTACTTTGTGAGTGCCTCAGGCACAGCATGAGCTTTTGGAACACAGCCAGGACTCTTGAATTAGCAAGCGTCATATGTAGAACTGTCCATATTCTGTACCTCAGGGTGAGGAACCTGAAGAGAGCAGCAGGAACAAGAATCCCTCTTTCACTGCCACTTGTGTGCATTCCAGATGCTTGTAACTAGAGTTATAAATAGCCTACCTCATCTGCCAAAAAAATTGGAGTGACTGTCATTGCCCATGAGTTACTGGTGCTGTGGAGAGGTGGTCATAGTCAGTTACCTCCTTTATGCTTTGACTAATCTGACCTCACTGGTGGGACAACAAATTTCATTTTTAATGGGTCCTTTTCTTCATTGCAAAGTAAAGATCCCCGAACTTGCTTTGGTGTGTATCTGTGTTATTATTATTGTTACTGGAATAGTGTACATTTTTCCTCCCTTCATCTGCTCCCCCCACCCCCATTAGATTATAATATCAATATGTCTTAAATTTATACTCTTTCTAGCACTTACATACAGAGTTGTCACTCAGGACATATGTTCAGAATTGGCAGATGAAATTGTTTTCTGATTTAGTAGGAAAATAATATTTTAGAAATCTACTAAAACAGCTATTAAAAATTTTCCCAGATCAAGAATGTGTACATGGTCCAATATGAAAAAAGATTAAAGAGAAAAATAAAGTCCACTATTTCTGATGCAACCAGAAGAGAAGAGGTTAGTGAAATCTATCTGGAACAATCTGAAGAAAAAAGAAAACTTACTGAAGATAAACTGAAGAATCTTCGTGTAAAGCTGACTATATTGCTACAGAAACTTCAGCTGGTGAGTAATGAAATTGTATATGGAGTAGTATATTCCATAAGGAGTATATCTTATGGAAAGCACTGACTAGCTTCTTTTCCTAACATTGTCATCGTTATTGACCATGGATGAGTCACTTAACCTAACCCTTACTTTCCATATAAGAATCATAAAGTAAATGAAACTTGAAGGTATGTAAAAGAACATCTTAAAAGTGTTTATCCTTTTCCTTTAAAAAATTGAAATCTTTTCTTGTGCTGTAGCTATTGTATGATCATCATCAGTATCACTTCACATATTTCCAGTGGGAAGATTTTTCTAAGTTTTTCAGAAAACAAGATATTTTAATTTACTTTTATACTAATACATAAATAAAAATAGACCCTTCTAATCACAGAGAAGGAGCTCTGGTAGCTTAGTGCCTAAGGCATTTGATTGTTAACCAGAAGGCTGGTAGTTCAAACCCACCAGCCACTCCTCGGAAGGAAGATTGGGCAATCTACTTCTGTAGTGATACCGCCTCAGAAACCCAAGGAGGGGTCGCTATGAGTCGGGTCTGACTCAACAGCATATAACAACAACACAACAACAACAACAATCTTAGAGGAGAAGTTGGAAAAGCCAGAAAAAAAAATCCTCTGAGTATAGATTATTACCAATTTTGAATGAACAAAGATTGAGTTCTATGATAGATCTTGAGCTCATGTCTTCAACTACAGCACATAGAATTATTGGATAAATTACAATAAGGCATTTGGCTGCTAACCAGGTCAGTGGTTCAAACCCACAAGCAGCTCTGTGGAAGGAAGATGGCTTCCAAAACCCAAAGGGGTTCTCTTTGAGTCAGAATTGACTCAATAGTAGTGAGGTTTTTTACACACACAAACACACACACACACACACATATATAGGGAAGAAGCTCTGTTGGCTCAGTGTCTAAGGCATTTGACTACTAACCAGAACGTTGGCAATTCAAACCCACTAGCCACTCCACAGAAGGAAAATGAGGCAATCTGCTTCTCTAAAGATTTACCCCTTGGAAACTCAACGGGAGTCTCTATGAGTTGAAACCAACTTGAAGACTGCGGGTTTATGCATATACATTCAAGTTTATTAAGTCTTTCTGTGTATGCTAGAAAGTGAGAAATCAAAGCTAGAACATTGTATGTAGCGCCCATATGGCATTTCAGATACAGATAATGATCCTGTGGTCTTGATGAAAGTTTTACCTCCTTTCCAGAGAGGCAAAGGAGACATGGTTTCTTGGACCATGCAGCCTGGAAGGGCAGGAGCTGAGTCTCTTATGGAAATACTAACTCAGAGGATTGCCATGCTCATGAAGGAGGCTGATGGAGAGTCAAGGAAACTCACTGAAAGACATACATCACTATAGTATGTCATGAGCATAGACTTTGAAGCCAGACTGCCTAGGTTTCAGTCCTGGCCATGAACATTTCAAGGTGGAAGACCACTGCTCATTCAAAATATATACAATGTCTTTTGATTTTTCTCTGGAATTTATTTTACATTAAGTACAAAATGAAACAGAAAGAATATATTTATTTCACTTAATTTGAAGATATAGCCAAAAGAGAAGTCTCCCCCCTTTGGTGGTCTAGGCAACAATAAAATGTTACATGTACTAAAATAAAATAGGATAGTTAAAGCTAAGTGTTATCACATTAATGTAATATAATACACATTCATTAATATAATAAGAGTAATTTTATTTGTACTTCCATCAACAATGCTATTTTAGCCAATTCTTGCCATTTATTTATTGGCCTAAGAGTGGTATTTGAGTGGAGCTTCTTCGGGTTCTTCTGGCTGTAAAGGATTGCAGATGATTTTGTGTGCAAAGATCCACTGTAGAACCTGGTACTTGGTCAACTTACAGTGAAGGTTGTTGTTTCACTAACAAGAAATACAAAGAAAACCGAAGATATTCTAAGTCATAGAAATTAAATCCTACAGTTTGACTATCAAGAGAGATTATTAAAAACAATCATTGGCTCTCATTACAGCAGATATATATATGGCTAGAGGAAAAAATGAAATAATAATAACATTACTCTTTCTATGAAAAATTCCTGAGTCTTCCAAGAATAGCCAGTATAATTTTATTAATTTGATTTGTTTATTCACAAAGTTTGGTAGGAAGATGAAGGGTTTTAGACAGCAGAGTATCTGGTATTATTGGAATACATTAATATCTTTACCTAGTATTATTGAGAAGTACTCTAAGAGCTCCCTTCAAACACATTTACTCTCATCCCTGGCCAACAATTTCCATGTTTCCTGTCATTGACTACCAGAGCAACTGCAATGGAATACAACAAAGAAGCAGAATTAGGTGGGCCAGAGACAGATGGGCAGACACTTGAAGGTGCTGAGCATAGAACCAACCTAAGTCCTAAGGGGAAGTCTAGTCTGGTGAGCAGAGAGCAATTGCCAAAGCATTAGATTCTACCAAACAGACTAAGAAGTAGTCAGTGCCAGGAAGGGTCACATAGGGTGTTTGTTGTCCATGGTCAGTAAGTGTTAAGAAATACAGGATAATAATAACTCTGGAAACCTGACTATAGGAACAGTGCCTCATCCACACAGCTAGGACAAAGTACAAAACTTCAGCCCTGTTAGAAGACTAATAAGAGCAAATACAGGGATGAAGGATAAAGCAGAATTATATTTAATGGACTAGATAAGGGATGATGTCTTTGTCAGGCATCTCTACAGAAACAAAGCCATTGAGGCATAGAGAGACAAGAGAACAAGGGAGAGGGAGAGAGAAATATGGATTTACTTCACATGCAATTGTGGGACTATAAAGCCCAAAATCCATAGGCTGGAGACTTTGCAGGCTTGAGTCCCAAGATCTGTAGGTCAGGTGATGGGAAGAGTACAGAGTCAAGTGAGAACAAGTTTTGCCAAAATATCTATTTATATTATAAAAGCAGATCCCATTCTAATAAACTCTTCTTTGAACTGATTTATTGACTACTTTAAGTTATGGAAGGTGATTGCATTACATTGCATTAGATTAAATTATGAAATAGCAACTAGTCTGGTGTTTGGCAGAACCATGTGGAACCATAGCCTAGCCAGGTTGATACATAAAATTAACTATCACATATGGAGAGGCTAGGATGGTACTATGGGACATTAGGAAAAAAAGTTCTTCCTAAAAATTTTCTTATCCATCAGCTCAGTTGGAGAGCCTAGTTGGTCCTATGGGTGGATCTGAGGTAGTGAGATTTAGATCAGTGTTTTGGTTACTTAGTGCTGCTCTGACAAGAATATGCCACAAATATGATGGCTTGAACAAACAGAAGTTTATTCTTTTACAATTTTGGGGCTTTAAGTCCAAGTTCAAAGTGCCAGGCTCTAAGGGCTGGGTGAAAGCCCCTCACCCTTGGGCTTCGCCTCTGCCTCCTGCTCCTGGCTCACTGAAGCCGGAGATTTTTCTTCACTCAGACAGCTGCTGGCTGCTGAGGCTGACAAACCCAAGGTTGACAAGGACAGAAGCACAGGCCCAAGGTTACCAAACAACATGGCAGGCCAATAATTCAAGTCCAAAAGAAGTCCCAAGATTGGCAGGGCATGACAAGCTGTTGAACAATGACTTGGCTCCATGCAGGGTTCAAGCATGCCAAAAAGCTAGAGACCAATCCCAAAGCTTCTCTTTTTATATGGGAAGCAGACCACATCCCTAAAGCAGCTCCTCAGCTACTAGCAGCAGATTCCACCACGGAGCTGATTACCAGTCTCATCATGGGGAATAACTACTTCCCACTGCCCAGCCATTCAGCCAGGCCCTGTCAAGTTGACAACAACATTAACTACCACAATCAGTAAAAAGAAAGCATATATCCAGCCATTTCACAGATCGAAAAACCCAAGGAATGGGAGTATAAAGTTACCCTAGTAGAGAGGAAAAGAAAAGAAGGACTGGATGGAAAAAAGGATAAAGATCATAGCAGCAATCCAAGAGTTGTGTGTGTGTGTGGGGGAGATGCTTACATGGCAAGAGGAGAAACAGAGAAGTCAAATTTAGCCTACGTTTCTATTTTTGCTTATAAGGCTATGGATTCATGAGTTTAAACAATAGGACATGGGAGCATATAACAGAAAAGAAAAGGAGTTTTTGTTTTGTTTTGTTTTAGTCAGGGTAGTGGTTTAAGAATATAACAAGTAATTATAAAGAAGGAAAACCACAGTTGAACTAACCTCCACTAAAGAAACAAAAATGATCGAAGAGCCCAACCACTTGGGAGCATAAAATGAGATTAAATCCAAAAACATTTTGAAAGGTTAAAAGCATTATTCAAATGCGGGATAGAATTTGTTGCCACATGAATCACAGCAAAGACTGTAGGAGGCTGCTCAGATGACAAGAGTCAGCCCTGTAGCACCTTCCCCTGGTAAATATTCTTACTTCTCTTTTCCAGGGTGATGCAGCAAGCGATCCAGAACAGATGGACAGTTATTTAGAAGCTTTGCTTAAGGAAGATAATCTCTTTTTTCGAAACGCTTTAAGTAAAGTGACTATAGAATCAGGACATAAGCTCCCTTTAGAAAAAAAATAAAAGTGCTTCTCAAAATTAAAAATCAAAGGTATTTTCTGTTAAAAAATGCTAAGAGAATCAAGATAATTTTTTTTTATTTCATTTTGGTGATTGTTGTTATAAGGTTCGTTCTGTTTGACACAAAGAAAAATTTATATTTTAGAAATGGTGACTAATTTATAATTTACCTATTTCCCAATCTTATATCCTAAATTTTCCTATTCTTTCCTAGAAACTGTTTCTAGAATTCTGTCATTGCCATGTGAACTACCATGGAAAAGAAAAATTTCATTTAAACATTTTGTCTTCACTTAAAAGATTGTAAAATATGAAAACAGTGGTTTTGAAAATCAATATACAAAAGGTTACAGAATCATCTGCTCTTAAAATTTGTGTGGTAAAAGTAATATCTAGAAATAAATGCCATTTCTAAACTATGACCAATATTTAATAAGTTGGAAAATATAAACCCTAAAAAAGGTATTTGAGATACAGGTTTTATGATAATTTTATATAGTAAAAGAAAAAATATCCTAAACATTATATATATATATATGTGTGTGTATATATATAGAGAGAGAGTTGGACATTTACATTGTCCTTGATAACTGATTGTTTTGTTGTCTGTTTAAATATCCGCATCTTTTGACAAAAAAATAAACCATTTAATGTTTGTTTGAAAAATTGTATAATTTTAAATTTATGTACATGCACTAGTACAAAATTCAGAATATATAAAACAATATGATGAAAAGTAAGTTTTCATCCCATTGTCTTCAGCCAGTTAATCTTGCTGGTATGAGTGCTTTTATGAGTCACTTGTGAATCCATCCAAAAATTATCAATGCACATGTTGTTGTTTTGTGCCATCGAGTTGGACCTGACTCATAGCGACCCCTCCTTGGGTTTCCAAGGCAGTATCACTACTGAAGTAGATTGCCCCATCTTCCTTCCGAGGAGTGGCTGGTGGGTTTGAACCGCCAGCCTTCTGGTTAGCAGTCAAGTGCCTTAAGCACTACACCACCAGAGCTCCCATCAATGCACATAAAAGTATATGAATCAATATACACCTACTCTTCATTTACTGACTATTTTGTTTCCCAAATCTCGCATTTCTGACAACTTTGAAAAAATTCTCAGGCTGGGACTCCAATGGTCTATGGCTCATGTGGGTCTGAGCCTGGCCTGGGGCACCCTCCACAGGCCACCCTGAATGATAAACTTGAGGCCGCTGTGACAACCAGGCCATGCAAGGGTTACAGCCTACTGATAACGGAATGCCTTCTTTTCATCTGCAATGTCTGTGGTCTAGCTAAAGGGTACAAGGTGACAGTAGGACAATGCAAGTTTGTGAGCAGGCATGAGGAGGCAGGGACATAGCCCAAAAGTGCCAAGGAAGTCAATGGGGGAGGTGGGAAGGGGGGAAGAAGGAAGGGAGCTGCCAGGGCTGTGGGGCCGGGGTGAATGGAGGACCAGAGGGGTCCTTGTCCAGGGTTGGCAGTGGGCAACACCTCACCACCACCACCACCACCACCACCACCACCACCATCACCTACCCCCACAGGCTCCATGTTGGCAGGGAAACTATGGTGGGGAAGGAGGGCCTAAGATGTGTTGAGAGTACCCAATGTAAGCAACTGGGAAGAAGGACACTGGTACTGAAGATGGGGTATAGCCCCTGAATCTCACATAACAACCTGGGATTTGGAACCTAGTCATGTTGATAAGTGACCAGTGAGTGTATAGATCCAGATATGTATATAATAACATCTGAAGGACATCATTGTCTTTTGTCATTTAATGTACATTAAAAATCATTCCAGTATCTATACATGAAGAGCTCTTCCATTAACTATAACTGCTCATTATTTTATTTTATGGACATACTAAACTTTATTTAATCATCCCCTTATTGATGGACATTTAGGGTTTTTGTTTTTCTTTCCTTTTGGACTCATACATACAGTAACGAATATCTTTGTAAATATGTCCATTTCACATATGCACAGTTATATCTGTAGATTCCAAAAGGTGAATTGCTGGGTTAAAGGGTATGTCATGGATTGAGTTGTGTCCCCAAATATATGTGTCAATTTAGCAGGGCTGTGATTCTCATTGGCAATGATATAATGATGTAATCATCCCCCAACATGTGATCTGATGTTATCTGACAGTTATAAGACAATTAGGGTGGACTGTAGTACCCTTAATCAAGTCACTATCCTGATCCAATGAAAGGGGAGTTTCCCTGAGGTGTGATCTACATCACCTTTCACCTTACAAGAGATAGAAGGAGAGAGAAGCAAGCAGGGACCTCACAAGCACCAAGAAAAAAGAACCAAGAGTGAAGTGCATCCTTTGGACCCAGGGTCCCTGCACTATGAACCTCCTAGGCCCAGGGGAAGATTGATGCCGAAGCATTTGTAGATCTCCAAGGGACACCAAGCCCACAGATGCTGAGACAAAGACCATCCCTCACAGCCAACAGAGACAAAAGGCCTTCCATAGAACTGGTGCTCTGAATTAGGACTTTCAACTCCCTAAACTGTGAGAGGAGCTCTGGTAGCATAGTGCCTACGACACTTGACTGCTAACCAAAAGGCTGGTGGTTCAAACCCACCAGCCACTCCTCAGAAGGAAGGTTGGGCAATCTACTTCTGTAGTGATACTGTCTCGGAAACCCAAGAAGGGGTCACTATGAGTCGGGTCTGACTCGACGGTACATAACAACAACAACAACAAACTGTGAGAGAATAAATATCTGTTTGGTAAAGCAACCCATTTGTGGTATTTCTGTTATACCAGCACTAGATAAGTAAGACAAGGTAGGAACATTTTATTATTAATAGTTATTACTTAATAGCACTCCATAAAATATTTTAATATACATTCCCACAGTTTGAGAGGAGCTCTGGTAGCATAGTGGCTAAGGCACTTGACTGCTAACCAGAGGGCTGGTGGTTCAAACCCACCAGCCACTCCTGGGAAGGAAGATGGGGCAATCTACTTCTGTAGTGATACTGCCTCAGAAACCCAAGGAGGGGTTGCTATGAGTCAGGTCCCACTCAGCGGCACATAACAACAACAACAACATTTCCTCACTAAGGAGCTCTGGTAGCGTAGTGCCTAAGGCACTTGACTGCTAACCAGAAGGCTGGTGGTTCAAACCCACCAGCCACTCCTCGGAGGGGTCAGCCACCCCAAGGAGGGGTCACTATGAGTCGGGTCCGACTCGACAGCACATAACAACAACAACAACAACAAGAAGTCTCTACTAAAATAGAGACCAGACATATGAACTAGCCCATATGGGAACTGGGAAAATAAAGGCATGCAGGCAGGAGCAGAGACCTAGAATTTAGGAGTAACAAGATCACTTTATTTCCACCCAGAGTCATCAGGTCCTAGGTGTATGAGTGGTGGCAAGATGACTTGAAAGCTAGTACAGTTCCGTTACTTTACCATGGATAGTTTTTAATCCCATTGGCTCAGTTTCCATACTTTAACAATTAGGGGCTTGGCTAAAAGAATATTGAGCTCAGGAATTAAAAAGGGACAAGGCTAGCAGGCAGAGGGCATAGATGGATACAGATCTGAGAAATGAGAAAGACAAGAATAGAGAAAAAAAAAAAAAAGCAAGAATCTCAGAGACACACCCCAATATATTCCTCTGTCTTCAGATTACACTTTACTGGCTAGTACATCTATGACTCTTATTAGTAATTATTTAATTATCTCTATGCATTTTACTCTTAGAATTCATTTTCATTTAACAATACTCACAATGTACTGAAGTTTTTTTTTTTAAAAAAATGTTGTTCAAATTATCTTCACAATATCTAGATGGAAAAAGGCATATACTCTTTTTTTTTTTTTTTTAATTTTATTTTGATTTGGGTGAAGATTTACAGAGTAAATTCACTTTTCATACAGCAGTTCACATATACTTTGTCTCATGTCATTGA